CCTGTGATTGACCTGCCCCAGTGTCTGTGACTGCTGCCGAGAGGACATCAAAGTCAGGTAATAACTTGCCCAGAGTCTTTGTATTGTTAATGATACCTAGTTTACCTGCATGTTGACTATCTGTTGCCTGGGTGTGTTTGTATTGGTATGTGTTTAACTTAGTACCCGGGGAGTGTAAGTGCCTGTTTAACCCCTTTTAGGTACCACATGCCTGTGGTAGTAAGGAAAAAGGGGGGTGGACCTGTGGAAGTTTTCCTGGGGGTCCTCTATTGCCTGTTTAACTCTTTTAGGAGCCACGTGGCTGTGGCTGTAAGGAAAAAGAGTAGGGGGGATCTGTGGAGGGCAGTAGACTCACTGCTTCCTGGGGATCCCCAGAGTGTCATTTTGACCGCTTAGCTAGCCTCATCAGACACTTCTTCTTGGTAAAATTCCAGTCTCAAGCGCTGAGACAGGTAAGATTCCAATTCTTTAGGCTATACAGGATTCGGGTTGGAAGCTGTTGCTGTTTCCTGTGGCTGCTGGTAGTGAGACTTGCGGGTGGGTCCGCAACAGGGACACTACGAGGTTGAGGGAGGTGGCTTTTGGCCACACGAGTAAAGGCAAGGGATAAAAACTTATTTGAACTGTGATGCATGCACTGTATTTACACTGAAATGTTATTGTCTTAATTGTCTGTCACACAGATTCCTGTGTTTACTTCTATCTTACTCACTGTACTATTTACACTTTCCCCTCCTATTTCTCTTTCTCTTTGTTGAGAGAAGTGATTGGTCACACACTTCTCGCCACGCTCCAATCCGCGGCTACCACGGGTAGGCGGAATCAGTGACTAGTCTACGTTTTGGGAAGACGTACTTAAAGAGCTTGCTCTTAAAGTAGCAGTCGAGCACGGTAGACGTTCTGTTCCTTTCTCTCTCTATATCTGGGACGCCTTGTATAGGGAGGATGGGACAGAAGTTAGATAAACCCAGTAAGGGTTGGTTAGCATGTGATCTAGTGGAAGACAGAGAAGGAGAAGAGATGGTTAAGAAAGTGAGTAAGATTGCTAAAGTATGTGGAATTACCGTACCTCTGTGCGGCAGATTGTAGCCAGAGAGCTGGCGTAAGTTACTGACAGAAGAAAGGGAAGCTGTCGGACCAAGATTTGGTTTGTACAGCAGAAGCCTGGTACCGAGTAGCAAGAGCTATTCAGCAAAAGGGATAGGTTGAGGAAGATATTGATCACAAAGGTTTAAGATTGTATGTATATCATAATAATTGTGTTACTGGGAAGTTATCCCAGCAGTGCCCTGTCCAGGAGGTGACCACTTCCATCATCCTGTCAGTAATGACCGAAATGTAGCTGACCATGGTCACCATCCCACCCCAATCTTAAAACGCTGTGGGGTTTTTGTATTTTGTGTTAGCCATTACCCTGGTAGAGGGTGGGGGTATAAATGAAATGTTGTGTTTTTGTGTCTCTTTGCTTTGTAATGTAATTGTCCTTCTGTCTTGTTACTGTACAGCGTTGACATGGTTAAATTCGTGCTGGCAGGCAGTCTCTCTCTTGTTCCACTCAAATCCCCCTCTGCTAAAACACCCCCCCCTCCCCTCGCTTCTGTGAGACGCGGGGGGGGTGGTGACATGCTTGCGATTTAGGTCTGTCTCTTCGGTGTTCTGTAGAGTTATTCAGAAGCTACTGATAAGAGTATAAGGTACTGAGGATTGTGGGAGTGACGAGCTCACAAGATTGCATTCAGTGTTGAATACGGGATTTAGGAAGGTGTAGAGGGAATATGCGATGTTGTTAAGTCAGTATAAGAGGAGGAAAGTGATTAATGGTTTGAGGAAGATAAGGGAATTTGGTTGAATTCCGCGAGTTTATTTTGCATCATTTTATTATTTTAAAGTTATTTTAAAGTACATGTTTCTAGAAACAGCTGTATGGGCTGTTAAATGCATAATGTTCTCAACTGTCTTATTTAACCTGCCAGGTCTGTTCATAGTTTAGTATTTCATTTTGCAGAACGGAATGTTGCTTCTCTGACTTATTTTAATAGTTATAATATAGTGTATTGTTGAAAGTGACGTCACTTCCGCCCTTACCATGCCCACACCTCCTGTCTTCCTTTCCCACACCTATCATGGACGTCATCTCACTTCCTCCCTTGCTGTCATTTCCTTCCCCGCCCCTGTCATGGCTGCCTCCATCATGAGGCCTACCCCTATTATGCTCGTCCCATTTAGATAATTACTGGAACAATCATGCCATTTGTTTCCCTGTATCAACAATTTGTCCGTGATATAAAAAAAAAAAAAAAAAGAAGGTTGCTAAAATGTAATTTGCAACTGTGGTGTGACCTACAAATGAGATCTGTTGGACACGAATATAAGAGCATAACAGCTGATTATCCAGCTTCATCTTGCAACAAGGGAAATAGCTAAATAATGCAAGTTATTTTAAACATTGTATCTTTACTTAATCGAATCTTGCTAGTTACAGATCTTATGTTTACAGTAACATCCTTTACTTTAAATGATGGTTTAGCATTAGAAGGGTTTGTGACATGTTTATTAACCCAGCCACTACTGGTTATTCATTTTAGTTACAGGGTGGTATAATTGTTATAGTCTAATTGATATAAATGATAGTACCGCAATAGTTAATGTTTTATCCAAAGACATATAGGAACTTTACTTAACTTACTATTAACCATTATTTATAATGATAGACATGTTCAGACTGCAAAAAGCTATGGCTAATGACATACAAAAGGGGTTTGAGTCAGTAACACAGCCCATACTGAGGAGAGCAAACCCGCTGATGCTTAATGCCCCTGCCATGGCAGTGTCTTCAGGGGAACAAGGGGGGCCTCTAGCTACTGTAATTTCTACTGTAATTTTACCCATTGAGGGCCAGCCCACCACTTTCCTAGTTGACACAGGTGCAGCCCGAAGTGTTCTGAGAGAACAAGACCTGCCCGATACCTCATTTCTTTCCAATATTGATGTCTCCTGTGTTGGGGTGGACGGCCTTCCAAGGCAAAGTCCCCTGTCCACCCCACTGCGGGTTGGTAACTGCCACAACTTGCTTGCTCGCTTTGTGGTATCTTCCACATGCCCCATTAACCTGTTAGGAGCTGATGTTCTTTCACGCCTGCAGGCATCCATCACCTTTACTCCAGATGGACAAGTGGAACTATCCACCCCTCTATCTGTCTCAGACACCTCAGCTTTGTGCTCCTTACCCCTGATGCTACATCTAGAAGAGCCTCATGGGGATGCAAAAGACCTAAGGACTAATTTCCCTGATTCACTAAAGACTGATGTTCCCAAGAAGCTGTGGTCCACAGGCCCAGAGGACATAGGCCATCTAAAGGTCCCGCCTGTGGTGGTAAAGCTCATCCCAGGCGTAAAATTGCCACGAAAATCACAGTATCCTTTGAAACCAGCTCAAGCTGCAGCCATTACAATTCAAATTCAAGCACTCCTGGAGAAGGGTGCTCTTGTCAAATGTGAATCACCATGCAATACTCCATTATTTCCAGTAAAGAAAAAGACTCCAAAAGGCGAACCAGAAAAGTACAGATTGGTCCAAGACCTCAGAGCGGTAAATGAAGCCACAGTTTTGGACACTCCAATAGTGCCCAACCCACACACTCTCCTTTCCGGCGTTCCACCCTCTGCCAAGTACTTCACTGTAATTGATCTAGCCAATGCCTTCTTCAGTGTTCCCCTGGATCCAACTTGCCAATATCTGTTTGCTTTCACACATGACAAACAACAGTACACATGGACTGTCATGCCCCAAGGGGCACAAAATTCACCAAGTCAATTTGCGAAGGCCATGTGCTCTATCCTTGATCCATGGCAATCTGACCACCCTGAGGTCGTCCTGCTTCAATATGTGGATGATTTGCTGCTTTGTGGAGATGATATACCCACAACAGAACAATGCTCACTTAATCTTCTTTGCTACCTAGCAGAACAAGGATGTAAAGCTTCACGTCTCAAGCTGCAATTCTGCCAACCTACTGTTATTTTCCTTGGCCATTGTCTGTCTCAGGGAACCAGACATCTTACCCGTGACCGAGTTAGAGCGGTACTGGACATTCCACCTCCAAGGACCTCGAAGTCACTACACGCCTTCCTAGGCCTCATTTCCTATTGCCGAGCATGGATCCCAGAAGCCTCGCTCCTTATGCAACCTCTTTATGATGCTCTCAAGTCAGACCCATTTTGCTTGTCCACAGAAGCCCTTGACAACTTCTGTTCTCTCAAACGTGCTATTGCTTCTGCTCCTGCTCTTGGCCTACCAGACTATACCAAACCCTTCAAATTGTTTGTTTCTGAAAGACAAGGCCATGCAACAGGAGTACTCACTCAGGCTCATGGTCCTGGAGGCCGCCAAAGGCCTATTGGATTTTTCTCCTGCCAACTGGATATTGTGGCCAGAGGACGTCCCTCTTGCCTTCGGGCCGTCTTTGCTGCCAGAGAGCTCATTGAAAGAACTGGGGATCTTGTCCTTGGCCACCCCCTGGTTGTCTTGGCCCCTCATGACATTTCTGCCATAGTCAACCAGGTCCAACTTAAGCATGTTACTCCTGCTAGGCATCTTCGCCTTCAATGTCATCTTTTGTTGCCTGACAACATTACCCTCCAAAGATGTCAAGTTCTCAATCCGTCCACTCTTCTGCCACTCCCTGAGGGGGGTGTATACTACGGATTCATCATGGACGAAATTTATGTTTCTCTTCTCACTGGCACCATCAAGAAGGAAATGCATCCCAACCTATCCTTTTATGATGGACAAGCACTCCTTCATGACGGAGCAGGACATGCCTTCTGTACCATGTGGTACAAACCAAACATCACTCCTGAACCCTGCTATGAAGATGAACTCTATAAGCTGGTTGAAGTAAAACTCACTGCACAAGACTTCTACTGTGATTCTGAAGGCAACAGTATGGTCTTGATTCATCTACCTCCGGAACTCAAGCATTTGTACCGTCATTGGGACACTGCCATTCCACATGTCCCTGTGACCAAGTTGAAAACAATATCATGGAATGATCTTGGGCCTATGGCAAAAGCATGGGCCACTATGGACGAATCACAGCTACAGGAAAATGGTGTTGTCAAATATCCAACAACTGACCACCTAAAAGCATGGCCGCGTCATTTCCTGGAGAATGAGTTCCAAGATTTAACCATAGTGAATGACTACGACCCAGATACACCTCATGACTGTTTTGAACAGATGAAAATGGAAACAACACATCTACCAACTGTGCATGAAGACCCATTGGTAGATCCCGATCTCACCCTGTTTGTGGACGGCTCAAGATATGCTGATGAAGAAAGAAGATACCATGCAGGATATGCCGTAACCACAACAGATGAAATTGTCAAATCATCATCTTTACCATCAACTATGTCTGCACAAGAAGCTGAATTGCAAGCCCTGACTTCAGCATGCAAGATCTCTGAAGGAAAGCGCGCCAATATCTACACGGATTCAAGATATGCACTGGGCGTGGCTCACGACTTCGGATTAATTTGGAAAACAAGAGGATTTCTTACCACCGCCGGTACACCAATCAAGCACGGTTCCGCAATCAAGGAGCTGATGGACGCCCTCCTACTCCCAGAAGAAGTGGCTATTTTGAAGATAAAAGCACATGGGAAGTTGGACTCAGATGAAGCAAAGGGCAACCATCTAGCTGATCAGGCTGCAAAACAAGCTGCAAAAGAACCACAGGAAGTGGAAAGAAGAGTGTCCGGAAATGAAGAAACTCCCATATTTACTCTGCAGACTCTTCCAACTGACCTGAAAATCCTGCTGGAACAACAGGCTACAGTTGCCCCTGAAGAAATACAGAAGTGGAAACAGAAAGGGGCAGTTCTGAAGGATGGAGTGTACTCCAACAACCTCAATTTCTGCCTCCCTAAGAATTTGTACCCAGCAGTCGTACAATGGGCACACAGACCTGCACATTTATCAAAAGATCTAATGAATGCTCTTGTACAAAAATACTACCTCATTGTCCCCATATGAGATTCTATTTGGGACTGCACCTAGGCTAGGTTGCTATTTTCCCCAACAACTACAACTTCAAACTGATGTTTTAGTAGATTATGTAACTGAACTCGCAAATGCTTTGAACAAAATCCATGTCCAAGTTTTCTCTAAAATTCCAGATCCTGATTCTGACACAGGCAACCACAGTCTGCTCCCCGGTGACTGGGTTCTGGTCAAGAAATTTGTGCGAAAACACACCCTGGAACCAAGATTTGACGGACCGTTCCAAGTTCTCCTGATCTCCCCTACCTCTGTCAAATTGGCCGGAAGGCCTAACTGGATCCACGCTTCCCATTGCAAGAAGACACCTGCCCCAGAGGAAGCTAACTCTATGCAACCATGTGCCTCTGGTACATTATCTCCTTAGTTGGCCTCCTTAAAGCCCAGCAGGTGGCCATCACCAAAGATGCTAGTGGGTACACTTTCTGGTATAATTCATCATTTACCCATGTGGCTACATTCACTTTTGATTACTGTGATATTGTAGAGTGCCCATTCCCTAAGTCACAGATTCAAGCCATTTATAAAGATATACCACAAGCAAAAGACCCTTACGTTTGTGTAGTAGATGAACAATGGGGTTATGACTGTAACTACTGGGGGGCTGCGGGATGGAATACTGGGCCTGCCTGGGGTTATAAACCCAAAAGTGCTTTATCTAAGATAGACAATCAGGGTAGATCCCTCCTTCAAAGAATGACTTTAAGAAAGCCTGGAGGAAGTACCCCTATGAAATTAATGTTAAATATTGAACATCCTGGCCCCGAGGATGCAGACCGATATGTAATGGGAATGTATTGGAAGAAAGGTTCCTACAACAAAATAGGTCATTTCTACCTCAGAGATATGTCCCACTCTCCAGAGTGGCAAGGGGCTGATCATATGGTCCCAAATCCGCTAAAACCACATATCCAGTCCTTTAAAGATATGATGACCATCGCTAACCCCACTTTTGAAGATACCATGGCCGCTGAAACTGGATTCAATGACATTAATTTGTGGTTAGCATGGATGAGGTATAATGCCAACAAACATAATAAAAAAGCATGTTATGTATGTGGCGGTGCCCGACCCCACCTTGGCACCGTCCCCCTAACTCTCCCTTTAGAGATAGAAGATTGCTTCTTAAGCCTTTTTGCCTACCAATATGACTTTAATAGGTCCCTCTGCATGGCATGGACGGCAGAATACCCTCTCTTAGTTGAAAATGTTAAGCCACCAGATGGAGTCACAGTCTATAGAGGTAATTACACTTGTTATGCCATGTATGACGGGATTGGTAAATTCATGGGTAACTTTTCTAAAGGTTATTGCGCCACTTACAGAACTGTTCCTATACTCCTGTTGCAACACCATACCAGGTCATTGGGGGATATTTACTGGTTATGTGGGGATCTACAGTTAAGATCTAGGCTGGAAACTGAGTGGTGGGGTGAGTGTACCCTGGCCAAAGTTATCATGCCCATTCATATTATTTCTGATAATCATCATGACACATACGACCCTCCACATACATCAGCCAGAGTAAGGCCCGAAATCCCAGTAAAAGGCAGTTTTGACCCCCACATTTACATAGATGCCATTGGGGTGCCTAGGGGGGTACCTAATGAATTTAAAGCTAGAGATGAAGTAGCTGTAGGTTTTGAATCACTTTTTACCATAGTCACTGCCAACAAAAACCTTAATTGGATTAATTATATCTATTACAACCAACAGCGCTTCGTGAACTACACCAGGGATGCCCTCCAGGGCTTGGCCGAGCAATTACAGGCCACATCCCAAATGACCTTCCAGAACAGACTGGCCTTAGACATGATCTTAGCCGAAAAAGGGGGGAGTCTGTAAAATACTTCCCGACACTATGACTTGTTGCACTTACATTCCAGAAAACACAGGTCCTAATGGTAAAGTCACTCTGGCCATAGCTAAATTAAATAGACTCTCAGAAGAGTTAAAGAGAAACTCTGGAGTTACTGATCCCTGGGAAAAATGGTTTGGTTGGATGACTGGTTGGCAGAGAGCTTTAGTCCAGATTGGTATTGCCTTACTAATTTTTCTTTTTATTCTCGCTCTTCTCATTTGTTGTGTCCTCCCATGCCTAAGGAAATTCCTGCAGAAAACTGTAGACCAAGCAACACCAACCTTCACTCATCTGACAATCGATGATCAAGACCTCATCTCACCCTGTATTCCGCTACAAACTCTCCCTTATACTGATGAAGTGCAGAAAGTCTAGGAAGGGACAGTACAGGGACAGCGTCCGTCTTTATGGGTAGACTGCCGTACGGAGAAGTAGTGGATAAGCCACTATGGGTTACCAGCGGAGTGAAGAGTGTTCCTGAACCGTACTGACGGATGTGCTGCAGCCTGTTAGGGTCAAGAGAGGGATAGACTTGCACTTTGCATTAACACTAAGTCAGCGGTCATGGGGTTTCTGTGTCTTTGGGCTAATACTTCTTCTGATACTAACAAATAAAGTTTTGTCTTTTAGCAAATAACATTTTAGGGGGGACTGTTGTAGAATTATTAGGCCTCTATAAATTTGTAAGGCCCCTTTAAATCCTCTTGCTATACCTCTAAGAGGCCCCCATAGTTTTACAAGGAAGCTTTGTCTATAGAACATAGAATTTGCATGTCAGCAAGAAATAGCTTTGATAAAATGTGTATTTACTAAAATCCTTGAAACTTAACCTTGAGAAACTAACAAGTGCCAGCTACGCTCCAAATGGATAGCTGCCAAAAGGCCCCTCCCGTCGAGTGAGCTCCTCATTTTAACAAAATGGCGCTAAAACCTGTAGGAGTTAAGAAATTACGTAGATAGTGAATGGGGAGGGCATTTTACTAACATCTTAGCACCTAAGCCAATTAACAATGTCTATTTGTCTATATCTTGATTTTCTTCAATGATGTAATAATGCCTTTATAAGGGTCTGCGCACCCATTTTCTGGCAGATGCCATTAAACTTCTCTGAAGTTCTTTCATTACCCTGAACCTTGTGTCTCAGTGTGAATTTACTTCTGCGTGCACGCAACTTTATTATCTTTAATTTGGACAGGAACAGATAGTCATTCAAACTAATTGGTTTGCAGTAAATTATCTAGAACAACAGGAACATAAGATAGACCTTTATTCAGTAAGGAGTAGTGGTCTGAATTCAATATCTTGTCTGATAGATTCACAACCACCGTCATTTCCTCATCCTGGGTGGTCTGCCTGTGGGGTTTATATTTTTTGAAATTGCTCCGCCCTCTTCGTACTGGGCGGTTCTTTTTGCGCCTCGGGTGCCAATTCGAGGTATATCTGGTGGTTCCCCTCGTTGAGGATCCCTTACTAAAAAATTATCATTAGAATGTATTCTATGATCATCCCTAGAGTCAGGGTCTGAGGTGGAGTCGCCAGAACTGGTATCAATTGTTTGGAAGGATGGTTTGTGGATTTTAGTTCGAAATCTCGGATTTGGTCTATAGTTATCCTGTGAGCCTCCCAGCCATCTATATACTTGATGGTATTTGTAGTCATTATTGACTTTTTCCAGTTTTTGCTTTTTAAACCGGATAAGTTGGTTTTTGTATTTATTAATTTCATCTTGTAATTTAAGCATATGTACGGTTGTATTGGAGGCATGTAACAGAGTAGTATTCTTTGTTTCCATAGTTTGTATAGACTGTTTTACAAAGATAAGTTCCCTTCCCACCTCTTCCACAACTATCACCATCCAGTCTAAGGAGCATTTATTTGAAATTTGCATCCATTTTTTGCAGAATTCTAGATTTTGGCGTCCTATCGTAGGTCCATTCCTCACCCTGGAACCTCTGGGTATTCTCTTTGCTCTATGATAATCGGATATAAAAACACTGTGTAAATCCAAATCAATTTCTCTTTTCCTCAATTTTAACAGATCATTATACAAATCCTGGATAGTATCAGTATGTGAAAAATCATCTTGAGTTTGTGGCCATAGAATTGCATTAGCCTGTTCATCAGATATAGTTAAAGTTTCAGCAGATTCAAGGAGAGCTCCTGATTTAGCTAAGAAATCCTCCATGATAGTCACACAAATTCATATGAGGAAGAATAAGAAAAAAATCACTATTGAGTAGATATTCCATGAGGGGGTGCACAAACAGGTGCAGCAAACACCAAATATTAATAGTAGAAGTATAATGGCACTCACCCTTACTGCTATGATAAAAATCTCTTGCCCTGGTGCTATCCCACGCTGGAATATATAGTATATCAATAATAAGGATGCACTCTCCGGTCTTTTTTAAATATTCCAAGTGGTATTTATTCCGTCACATATTATGACAAATTGATCAACGTTTCGACCCGTTCGGGTCTTCCTCAGGATCAGGTGTATATTACAAAACAAGGTTTATATAGGATAAGTGTAAATTGTACTGACCAATAGTGACTGTATCCCGCCTATCCCCGTTCGAAACCCGGAAGTGTCTGACGAACATCACGTGATGTCACCGATCTACTATCACCACTGCTTTTCGAGATAAAACAAGTGACAAACCAGTGGCTAAACATTTTTTGGACTTGGGACACCGTTTACCGACTCTACGCTTTATTGCGATCGATCATATACCTATGCCTTCAAGAGGAGGCGACCGGTCCAAAATGTTGTTACAAAGAGAAGCCCGTTGGATACACCGCTTAGATACTGTGACACCTAAGGGACTGAATGAAAACATTGTCTATTCTGTATTTTTATAAGTCTGAGATGAATAACTATAATTCAAATCACAACTTGAACTGTGATCCCTTATATAATTTTTGGATTGGATAATATCAATAGGAGCTGTCTAGATTGTAGTACTCTTGATGATTTGTGATCTGATCGGTGATGTATACATATTTCTATATACATCTTTATTTATATTTATATGATTGAAGTGTTGAATCTTTATTGAATAATTAAGATCCATCCAAGAACTTTACGATGTATATATATATATGTAGATAATAATTGTAACTATTATATGTGTAGTAATCTGAGACGTATTAATAACAACACTTTTTATACCTCTGGAGATATATATTCTCCTCATATTCTGTAATATGAGATATATAATAACTATTCTAATTTCTATGTATTAGTATGTGATTGCTCAATCTCACCAGTTATGTCTGTCTCCCGAACCTAAATCTATGAAACCTTATGCTAAATAGAATCTATGATAGTTAATATGTACAGATAGTATCAAATTGGTCTTTAATAGACTTTCAGCCTATAAATAGCTTCCTATAAATATAAAATGTAAAGCTTAAAATAAAAATTAAATTAATTAAAATATATGTGTAAATATACAATTCCCCATGATACTCCAAATTTTGTTTTTAACTATAACTTTCACTTTTTGTAAAAAAAATCGATTAGTATTGATCGATTTTCTATTACTTTTACAGTAATTGTACTTACTTATTACTTATTATTAGTCACACAATTCATGCTACTCGGTTATATAATATTGCACATAATCTAATGAGTGGTGATGATTCACTTATATGTCACTAAATAACGTTTTATGATCACAGCATTTATATATGCTGGACAAGATACAATCTACTTTCTAACACTTCATATAATGCTAGTTGCTACATTCTCACTGAAAAAACTTTATTGAGCCGATATTCTATATTGTCGGCTGTACACTAATTGTTGATGCTGGTTTCCTAGCAACTATGTACGCACTTACGTCATCACGTGGATCACGTGATGTTCGTCAGACACTTCCGGGTTTCGAACGGGGATAGGCGGGATACAGTCACTATTGGTGAGTACAATTTACACTTATCCTATATAAACCTTGTTTTGTAATATACACCTGATCCTGAGGAAGACCCGAACGGGTCGAAACGTTGATCAATTTGTCATAATATGTGACGGAATAAATACCACTTGGAATATTTAAAAAAGACCGGAGAGTGCATCCTTATTATTGATATACTATATATTCCAGCGTGGGATAGCACCAGGGCAAGAGATTTTTATCATAGCAGTAAGGGTGAGTGCCATTATACTTCTACTATATATATATATCATATATAATGCCATACTAAGTGTATTTTTATATTAATATGTACTTATATTAATATAAAAATACACTTATAATTAAATTACACATATATAATATATAATAACTATATATAAATATATATATTAAAATATAAATAAGTAATTTAAATTAAATAAAAATGTTTTTAAATAATAAAAATTAAAATAAATTATATATCTATATGAAATTTTATTCTAACTGTATTTTAAAATATATATTTATATCAAAATACACTTAGAATTTGTATATATATATATATATATATATATATATATAAATAAATAAAAATACAAAATATACATATGTCTATATACAAAATTACATAAATAATTATCTAAATATACACGTAGACTTCAAATATATAAATATGCATACATTTAAATTCTACGTGCGTATTTATGTAATATTTTACATAATTCAGTAATTTTATTGATTGCAATTTGAGGGACCTGCCTGCCAAACCAGGCAGAAATTCCAGAGAATTTAATTTGCTAGCACTGTATTTTACCCTGTAACGTTCTAAGACACACTAAAACCTTACATGGGGGGGTACTGTTTTACTCGGGAGACTTCGCTCAACACAAATATTAGTGATTCAAAACAGTAAAACATATCACAGCGATGATATTGTCAGTGAAAGTGACTTTTTTTGCATTTTTCACACACAAACGTCACTTTTACTGATGATATAATTGTTGTGATACGTTTTCCAGTTTTTAAACATTAATATTTGTGTTCAGCGATGTCTCCCGAGTAAA